CTAGCTTTTTCCATCAGATATGCCCATTGGATTTTTTTTTTTTTTTTTTCTTTTTGAAACAGGGTTTCCTTATGCAGTGCAGGCTGAACTCACTTTGTAGCCCAGGCTGACTCGCAGCAATCCTCCTGCCTCAGTCTCCCGAGTGCTAGGATTACAGGCATGTGCCACCACGCCCAGCCTTGTGCCCATTGGGTTTTAAAGAAAAAAAAAATACTTAATCCCTTGAGTTTGGAGTATAGATTTTTTAAAAATATGAATCAACATATTTATTAATATTTAATGCATGTAGGTGTGTGCATGGATGCATACATTATATATACATGCATATATATATAGTTAAGAATTACATTTCCCCACTTATCATTCAAGAAAACATTTATTGTGTAAGAGTGTGTCACAGAGAGTACAGATTTACCCAGCATTTGTTTCATTTCATCAGTACACATGTTAGCATGGTGGCAAAGGCAAATATTGGCCTGGTATTATGAAAATGTTTTTGAACTCAAGGATAGCCTCAAACAGTTCAAGGGACACGCTGAAAAGATTCATTGTGAGAGCTGCTGCAGTGTTACAAAGCCTTTACTATTTAAATGTGTATCAAATATTTAGAATATTTAAAATATTTTTAAACAGTGGTTTCTTTTTCTTTTTGAAAAGTAGTAACTGCCTTGCCTCTTTCCGACACGGAGCAGGCAGGCCTTTTCTCATTAGTGCAAGAAATGAGTAGAACAGAATGTGCAGATATGGGAAGCGTGGCCTCTGCAACAACGACATGCATTAGGCATAGGAACTGTTCTTCCTTCGTGCTTCTTGGGTAGCTGAAATTGAAGGCCCATAGAAACCACTGTTTGAGAGGAGAAGGATAGTAACTTCCTCGCCATCTGTTGGAAAGTCTAAAATTTAAATTTGCTCTAGATTATGACTTCCTGAAGATACTAACAATCTTGCTGGAAAAAAAAGGTTATCGTGATAAGATTATTTTGGAGCATACTAGATTGCAGAAAGCAAACTATTTTTTTTTAAACTGTTTTCTTAATTACAAGACTTCCCAGAACTTTGGAAGTGCTAGTAAGTAAATCTCAAAGTGAGAGACATAGCAGTCAGTGTGGCCCACTTTTAGAAATGGACCTCTTCTCTTCTTTTTTTTTTTTAGGTATGGGACCTTGCAGGACTAGTAATCTTGGGTTCTACTGGATGACAGGTGGAGAAATGACCAATATTACTCCTTACCTTGTGTATCTCTTTTAAAAAATTGTGCGGGTATGGGCTGGGCGTGGTGGTGCACGCCTATAATCCCAGCACTCGGGAGGCTGAGGCAGGAGGATTGTTGCCAGTTCAAGAACAGCTGGGCTACAAAGTGAGCTCACGGCTGGCTTGAACTGCACAGTGAAATCCTGTCTCAAAAAAAAAAAAAAAAGACCAAAAAAAAAATTGTGTGGGTGTTTTTTCTTCTCTTTTCTTTTTCTTTTCTTTTCTTTTCTTTTTTTTTTTTTTTTAACACTTTCTTTTCTTTGAGAGCCTGAACAACATAGGAGCATGGATACCAAACTCCCTGGACTTGAATCTGGTTTTCTCTGCTTACAACCTAGCTCTCCAACCTATGGCATATATTTGACCTTCCTGTGCTTCAGTTTCACCATCAGTTTCACCATCTCTGTGCTTCAGTTTCACCATCTGTAAATAATACTACCTACCTTTTGTTCTTGCTGTGAAGATTAAAGGTGGGGCATGATAGCACATGCCTATAATCCCACCACTCAGGAGGTGAGGCAGGAGAAGCGCTGTGAATTTGAGGCCAGCCTGGGATATATAGTGAGACTGTCTCAAAAAGCTACTGTGTTCTTCCATGCTGGTCCATCCTCATGCTGTGGAGTGTACTACTTTTCCTACTTGGCACAAACTTGCTCCACAGGGCCTGTTTCTTTTCCTACCTTTAATAAAACTTTGCTACTGTTAAACAAACAAATAACATGAAAGAGTTAGCTCCCGTAAAGCAGTGAGAAGGGTGCCTGGCTAGTAGAAAACTCTGTACATGCTGTATTATTGTTACCTCTTTCTTCTCTGTGCCTTTGATACACATTAGTGACAGCTAAGGCTTTGGATTTAATAGTTATAGCTAGAGCCACACTGCAGATTTCCGGAGAACCAGCTCGGTACATTTGGCTGCTTAGGGAAATTGTTAGGCAAGGTAATGGGGCTAGTCTAGGGAAAGAGAGGCAGTAATATTACCTTTTTTTTTTAGCCCTGTTTGAGGCTCTTAGGAAAGAAGGTAAGTACTTAATTTAAAAGTTCTTGGCCAAGATGAGCTTGGGGCCCATTTCACAGACTATTAGCCAGATAGTTGCTGGGAAGTTAGCATCATCTTGAATTTACCATTTTATCCTTTTTAAAAGCTGACAGATTGTTGCTGGGTAGCTCCTTCTATTTGTTTGTTTTTCTTCCAGTATCAGGAATCGAACTCATGACCTTGTGCTTGCCAGGCAGGTGCTTTGCCATTGAGCTAAATCCCCAGCGGTAGCTCCTTCTAAAAGTGGAGTGCCAAATAAACTTTACTACATTTTAGGTTGCTTGCCCCTCCTTTTGGGGTCTTCTCATCTCAAACAAAGAATTGAACAAAATGAACAAAGAACAGCAGATATTTGAAGAAGTGAAAGTGAAGAGTGAAGGAGGAACTGGCTCTGCAGAACAAGCGTGAACCAAAAGGAAAAAGCAATATAAGAGTATACCTTGGAGGATGCAGGGTGGGATATCATGAGGAAAGCCTGATAGCAAGCTCTTCATGGCATGTGTGTCCTTTTATGATGTCTAAATCTTGAAGAAACCTTCCAGAAGTTCTGTTGATGGGTCCTCAGAGGTGGTGTTGGGATCCCATGCCTCAGGCTTATGTTAGGTCTAGGCCATCCAATTGAAAACCTGCTTGGGTTCTGAGAAGTCCATGTGCAGGGTTTTATGAACTGTTCCCATGTGTTCTTGGATTTTGTAATTAAAACGTCATACCTACTTCTCCAGCCAGCTTCACCAGGCCCTAACCTCCTATTTCATTTCCCCCTGAGATGCAAATCCCCGTAATTCTTTATGGGGTGCTGAGGGAGTAGAGGTCTGTGTCTTCTATAGCTTCTTCAAACTGGATGGGGCTGTAGACTCTACCTACTGGGATTATGTGTTCTCCAACCACTTTGGAGTCCTGTGGTTCACTGGGTGGGTGAAGAAAGGAAAACCTGTCAGGAAACAGTGAGAAAAGAGGTAATGACCATTGAGCTGTATGTCTGACAGGAGAAAGAAACTTCACTATAAGCCCAAATATGAGGAACAGGTCAGAGTTTCATGTTTCCTGTAGCAGCATTGCAGTCTTGCTCTTTGAAGAGAAATCTCAAGTCTTCTAGAGGTTCACAGGAATAGCTTTTTCCTCTTGGGTGATCTTGTTCTTCAGACAGTTCAGGTGGGACTGGTTTTATTCTAAAAAGATGAACCTAATTATCTGTCCCTGCCACCTTTACAGCAGTGGTTGTGATAAGGATCACTGAAAAGAAAGTGGCCTTTCCATTTTCTTTTCTTTTTTTTTTTTGGTTTTTCTCTGGTACCGGGAACCAAACTCACGACCTTGTGCTTACCAGGCAGGCGCTTTGCCGCTGAACTAAATCCCCAGACCCGACAGGGTCTCGTTATGTAGCTCACTTTGTAGCTCAGGCTGGTCTTGAACTTGAAACAATGCTCCTGCCTCAGCCTCCCGAGTGCTGGGATTACAGGTGTGCGCCACCATGTCCAGTGGCGCTTCCATTTTGACTTTAGTTGGTCATCAGGAGTCCTTTCTCTTCAAGATTTTATAGAGCACTTGTACTCCAGGTTGGGCAGTATGTGGTCCCCTGGACCAGGGGTTGGGAGGAATCTGTTTCCATACATTAGGATGGCCTGTGGTATTCGGCCCAGATTAATGAGACATTGTAAGAGTCTTATGCTCTCTGCGTCTACTATCATAT